AAAGCAATGTACGTCAGTTCTCGTTGACCGCTCTATTTAGGCTGCCGATACTGTCATTGATCTGTAATTTTTACTGACTCGACTATAAGTATGACCCTAGAACAATGGACCTCTACGCATGTGTTTCAAAAGAAACTAATTGGGAGCTATAACATGAATTAAATTTGTGTTTTAGTGGTATTTAGGCATGGTAGATTATGCACCATGGCGGCTGACAGAATCCAGTCAGTCTGACAATGAAGACAAGATGGCTGTCCTCCAGGAACAACTGAAAGATCATAAAGACTGGTAAACAGAAAGTTTGAAATTGTAATACAATGTGAGGTAGCGGGAAGGCTAGGTGTTTAGGCGACAGATTTCAGCTAGGAGTCCGTCCTTAGTACTTCATGCCCTCTGCTATGAAAACTCCTTTGCCTTGCTACCACACATATTTTGTTGCTGTTGATCTTTTTCCCTTCCAGTTGTGACTCTTGTGTTTTTTTAATCATTGTAATAGCACTTTAAAAAACGTAGAAATGCAGAATAATAACAGCTGACGCAACGTTAACTTAAGCTTTACTTAGCAACTATAGACCTTGCACGGCGCCATTTTGACGAGCAGGCAGGCAAATCTTAGGGCGGTTACCAAGCTTCATACAAATCTCTTAAAATTTCGGTCACGCGCTCCATTCTACTAGCAATTCTCAACGTCTTCTTTGACTTTATCGCACTTGGAAATTTTAGCTGTGTGGTAAAAATTATCCCGTCCTTCATCAAATAAGTCAGTTTTGGCGCCCTAGCACGATAGCACGTGGACCCTACGATACGTGGAAAACATAACAAAGTTAGCCAAGTTAGTCAGGGGACGAGTGGGCGAGGCATCCAATCAGTTACTTGGCGCTTACTCTGAAGTCTTTCAATTTGACCTGTTACCATGCCTCCTGGGCAAATCACCGGGGATTTGCAGTTTTTCTCTTTCTTGGTGGTCTATTCCCCACCCCTGGGCACGCAGAAGGAGACAATTCCCCACACCCCGAGCTCCGATAGACCTCATATACGTTTTCTTGGAGTACATCTTTTTGAGAGCAATAGTAATTTCCGTACAACAGTAAAACGAGACGTTTTCAGAACTTTGATAAACGTTTTCTGGAGTTAATTGTCAGAAGGGATAGAACACTAAAAAGTCTGGTATCCGTTTTCATATACAGTCTACATTTAAGTTGTCTCATTATTAAACTAAAGGCTGAAGAAATATATATATATATTTTTTTCCATTCAAGTACGCACTTTACGCAAATTCGTTTGAAATTTTAAAAACATACCTTCAAATAGAAACTTCAATGTTGATAGGTCATTCCTCTCCAATCACTGCCCGATAAATTCCTGCGTTTTCCCTTTAAAATACGTGGTCTTGAGTTCCGTAGCTTCGTGCAAACCGCCCGAGAAATAACACGTACTTTGCAATCAAAGAGAAGTTATTTTTTATTTGCCCCATTCCCTACCCTCGGGAAACCCACGGGACAGGACCGCTTCAAACAATTCCCCAACCCGGGGCTCGAAGAGCTGGACTTGCCGCGGGGATTGCTCGGGGAGGATGGTAACAGGTCAAATTTAACCATGCATAATGCTCGATGTCGAGACTGCTTTGGACAATAAGAAGTCTCACCTTTTCCTCAATCCGTCGAGCGAAACTCGAGGGAGAATCTAACGCGACGGCCTCACACGCGCCGACTCGGGGTTGACGCCCTTATTTCACAAAACTTTCTCAATTCTCTCAGCTTCCTCTCAGCTTCAAAGTTTTTTCCAGGGGTTGATGAAACAGGCCTGCAGAGGGATGGGTGGGAATAACCTAACAGACACTTTATAGAGTACAAATGGTAAAAAAATACAAATGAATGCTGATACACTTTTCCTTTCTTATTTTCTAAGTTTTTTTTTTTATGTTGATCTTTTGTTTTTCAGCATCACATCGTTAAGGACGGAACTGTATTCCCAAAGGGCGATACTCGAAAGTATCTCTAGTCAGTTAGGAGCCAGGACGAATAATGGAAGAAATCTGCGGGACGACTTTTAGATCACAGAATCCTTAAAGACCAGTTTCGTTTCCAAAGATCATTAGCAGGAGCTTTATCCTGTACAAGGGATACCGTATTTACTAGAAAGAGCGCCGCATCTTCCCATCAACAATACGTAGCCTTGGACCAGGCTCCGCAGTGGAGGAAAAAGACAAAAAACAGGCTGAAACAATATTTTTTGGGGGATTTGCACAACCCCCATCAAAAATCAAATGGTCCACCCCTAATCTGAACACATGATGCCCACCTCAACAAATATAATGTTCTTGATTGTGTTATAAAACAACACAGTATGTTGTCAATGAATAGGATTTATAGTCATCTTGCTTTTTTTCCTGTGAATACTGAGTTGCAAACTTATTCAAAGCTCAAGGAGAGAACACAAAGCGCCGAGTAACTCAAAGAATGAAACTAGCTCAATAAGAGCATAGCATAGAAATATTTTAAAAAGCTGCATAAAACGGACAACAAAGACGTGCAAATTGTTTTGCAACGTTGCTGCAAAACGTTTGAAAAGGTGTTGCGCGTTTTACGCTGATCCACGTTCAAACCTGTCGGTGCAACAAATAAGGTTGCAAGGTTGTTTTTCGTGGGTGGTAAAACGGGCAACATCACTATTCAACTCATATGGAAGCAAAGTTATTACAAAACAAGTGGCGCGTTTTTTGTTGCCCGTTTTATCTTACCTTATAATAGAAAAAAAGTTAAAAACTAAGTGAGAAAAGAAAAGTGCTTGACGCGTATTATATTTTCCTCTTCTTATCATGAACTTCAAAGTTTAATCACCTACCGAAATGCTATCAACGAAAGAGGCAGAAATGAAACTTGAGCTGATTTTTTCCATTGATATACTGTCATAAATGAGTAAATTTTCGATCGTGCGTCAGTCCCTTGAGGGAATGTCCATTGTTTATAAGCGGGCTATTTGCAGTAATTTCTTACTATTGGGCCGATAATCATCAAATCTCCGCAACGACAAAGAAAGGAGACTCATATAAAGTGTAAACAGGATAAAATGTATTTTCATAATACCCGGGGGTTGTTTTTGTCTTCCACTGATCCCGAACTGATGGCATAGGACATTAAATATGTAAGGTCTTTTTAGACGGCGACAAGTGACTAGAACTTTTTTTTTTCATGCAGCTTGTTTGATAGCCTCCTAAGCAGTCGTTTTTAGGGAAGCTCTCATTTTGTCCCTAGTTCCCCTGAAAACGCCTGCGTAGGAAGGTTACTTGTTTCAAGAACAATGCAAAAATATAACACCAGATTTTTAATAAGGTGAAGTTGCCTTTTTAGTTTGATGTGATTTGACACTTAGGTTACTAAAAACGGGCAGCTTAATAGCCACTTGCAGTGGTCACTTTGCATATACAATTATAAAAGAGATGTCACAAAGAAAACTGTCAGTGTCAAACGAGTACATTTTACTTTTGACTAAAAAGTAAACTTTATAGAAAGCCATCGAAAATCGAACAATAAGGACCAGTAACTGATAACTCCCTTTCTTTAGGAACAACTGCTTCTTTTTTCATCGTTACCTAAATTTTTTAGAAACTGTTTCTGACAAATTAAATTTTTTTGCTGGTTATAAATTCTTCTCTGAAAATATCGAGTCAGTAGAGTTTTGTATACTGGCTTGACCTTTGTGATAAATAATTCAAACGTTTTATAAACATGCAATAAAAAGGTTAAAAACAAGGGAATTTTCTTCAATTTTTTGACTTTTCAAATTTTCGTCTTGCGGTCAAGTGATCTAATAGTTAGTGAGTGAAGTTCAATGTTTAGGTTTATTCTTTTACTCAAAGTCAAACCACATAATTACGTTTTTAAATTGATCTAAAACTGAACTACTAATACATGTCATACGTGTCATTTTCAACCAAAAAACATTATATTCCCAGAGGCTGTTTTATGTTCAAATCTGAAAAACATATATATTGATATTAAAGGACATGAGGTAATCATTTATTCCAAAATTTGCTGACACCGCTGAGATATAAGAGAAATATTCTAAAACACTAGGTGGGTCATGCTGGGATTAACATGAGCAAGCCTTTTTTGTTTGTTTTCTGCAAATGCCACCATCGCCTTAATTAAATGAAGGGGACACAGATAACATTAAAGTATAAATAAATAAAGGTTTATTGAAAATTCGTATCCACGGAATTTAAGAAATCAGCTTTATTTAATGTGCACAGTCGGGCGTCAAAGTGGAACTTAGGAGGAGTTCGCGTCACCGAAAGTTTCTCGGTGGAAACTACAAACATTTGACAACCAAAAATATCATATTTTGTAAGTTTAAATCTTTCATTTTCTAATGACGTAAGAAATTTTTCTTATTTCTACCTTTTTATTTAATTCTATGTATTTGTTATTACCCATTTTTTATTGCACCAGTGCTTTTTCTAGCGCCGCAACGCTAAAATATTGAACAATATTTTGGGTCCCCCGTTGTTGCCTTAAGTAAAATTATTAGACCTCTTGAGAAATAACGAAGCGTGCTTAGTACTTTCGTAAATTATTTTTAAGAAGAACGGAAATAAGATTTATATCTTATAGACAAATAATTCATCATGTATGGATTTCACTAACGAAAAAAGGCCAAGACTCTAGTCGTCCGTTTTCTATTACAGCAGATTAATTGTCACTTTCTAATTTTTCGTCTATACAACGTTGAAAATTATTTTCCAAAAAGGGTCGTCTTTGTCGTAGAAAAGTAATTATTTTGGACATAATTGTGTTTTCCTGTCCACCGCTCGATCTGAGACCATTAAAAATAAGTTGCGTAGAGTTGATTGTAATTGTTATGAAAATGAGTTGCACTTGCTAAGTTCAGTAACAGCAAATACATCTTAATTATCTTCTCCTATGTTTTCATTCTATTTGGACCAACCACTGATTAGATCGGGGACTCACAAAGGTGTACCGTGATCATTTATCTGCATGATGTCAAGTAAGATGTTAGTCGACTCCGAGTACATTCAACTGGAAGGATTAAGTGACAGCAGTGAAATGTCGCTGCGTTTGAGTCTGTTGAGTGGAAGAAATTCTCGAAGAGTTTCAGATAATTCTTTGGCGAAAAATTCACTTCAAAGGAGCATAGATGAAACAGTGGAGCGAAACCCATGCAAGCGCGTGGGACTACATCAGGTACGACGTCAAAATAATACAACTAGGAGAAACTTTAGTATTGTACAGATGTAGTTACATCGCGGGAACATAGTTCTTACTCTTTGACTTCCAGAAAGTATTATAGATGAAATTAATTTCTCTATTTGTCACCCTCAAGTAAAAACTCTACAGGTTCAGTTTAGACGCAATTACTTTGAGGAAAAAAAAAACAATTTGAATTACTTGAAGCCTCACACTCCACTAATTACATGTTCTGGTTAATGTAATACTTCGCATGACTAACGTTGTGAGAGAGAAAGCATCTTCCAGTCGAGTATAAAATGAATTATATTCCAATTTCGAGTATGTTATCTATGTCTAAAGTCATGGACTAACAGAATCGAATGCCATTGTCAATCACTTGGAGCATGTAAAATTCACTTTTATAACAATAGCAGCGCAGCTGAAGTTATTAAATATCAAAAATATTTCCAGTGACATACTTTTTGTCTGTCGAGTGAGTAATGTCAATTTTCAGTGGACAAAAACCTTGTACCAGTGATAATATTTTAAGCTATATCGCATTCCTTTTTACCCTTTTCAAGGGCTATAGATATAATTAGTTATCTGTCATAACACCAACGACAATTTCTTATGGGAGCCGAGAAAATGAATTTAAAATTTCACACTCTGGAATTGAGAAAACTAACACCGGTAAAATCTTCACGCCGTTAAGATTTCATTTTGTGAAATTTGAAGCATTTGAAGTTTATTTTCTCGGGCTCCCATTAGAACCTTTTCTAGGTGTTATTTCATCTAACTTATTACACTTTTAGCCCTCGAAAAGTGTAAAAGGGGATGCAATATGCTTAAAATTATTCTGGTACAAGGTTTTTGTTCACTGAAAATTAAAGTTACTCAATTTCCAAATGGACTCCGTCTTACAGTGTATTTTTCTTAACGTCATAGACAAACAAACGGCTATTTTCAAGCTGTAACGGCGTCTAACGTGCTGTTTTTCACCTTGCACAGCGTGATATTCCTATATTTTCATGTCATAATAGCAACATCAATCTTCAAACAAAAAAAAATGTACAAAGTTAAAGGCAAATTTTTCGAACGTAGCACGATTTACAATATGTCGCGTCTTAACAATAGGTAAAAAATGTAAACTAAGCTTTTATCGCCAAATTCATGTTTTTTCATTAGATTTCCTTGCAATTGATTTTTCAAGAACTCAATATTTTTCATGACCCCGTCTTGCCCTGAAGCTTGATTCTCTCTTAAAAAGTTTTTTGACGTCAAAATGTATGGCGAATAAAACTTCAAAGACAGTAAGTACAAAAAAGATGATCTCTTTGCTTCTCTACACTCCTGGCCCTCGCAAGCACTTTTACTAAACGCAGACTTGTATGAAGCAAGGTCCACAAAAATATCTCAAGCTCCTTTTCAAAGGAGCAAAAAAATTGTTACGTAACTTTGCCAGGCCATTCATATTTCAACTGCTTGTGTAGGAACAATGACGAAAAATGGACTAACCATGAGGAAAAGTAACCTTCAACCTTGTTAGAATCAAAAGTCATTCATTAGATTTTTGGAGTTTTTCCTTTTCTTTGGGATTTCTTCCAAGTTAATAATGGAGGAAAAGCCTGTGAGAATTATATTGCACGGGACATATGGGGTCGTATTAATTAATCTCACATTCAATTTCTAATTAACTTTCTAACTTCAAGATCATGTCTCTCGTTCACCGAGTCGGACACTTCTTTTTTGCATTATGTTCTCATGTGATTAAACTACAGGCAACTTTGGGGAAAATAAGTAATACTGAACATTTGTAACACCCATAACAGCATATTTTTAAAGTATATAACATCATACTAAAATGCCTTCAATTTTGTAAATGTTGACATTAATTTTAGTCTCATAAAAATACATAAACCTTCGTAAATTGCTTGTCCTGATGATTTATTCAATGGCTTAAATGGAGTATTATTAAAAGAGTTAATGAACAAGAGTTTACAAATAAATGCCCAACGCAAAAAGTGCTGAGATCTACTAATTAATGATTTTAAAAGCATAAGCTAGAAAAGTGATAAAAGCGATTGTTTGATAAGACGCAGCACGCAATCTATCATGACTACTGCGTTAATAATGGAGTTAAATTCATGAGAAACACTTTTATGTCGTAAATCTTGGTATTTCCAGATACAATTACATATGGACATACTCGAGAAAAAAATGAACTTTATTTGATTGTCAATGCATTCAGCACAAAATTCCGAGTTTCTCCTTCCGGAGACGAGCCGTCATTTTACGTGGTCATCCGGACCACCCGGCGAAGGTCCAGCCATTTGCAGGGCAAAGACAATGCCTTAATTTCTAAGTCAGTATTTTAAGACCCTGAGTATTGGACCGGCGCTTGGGTTTGCCGGGTTAATTGTATGGTGACTGAATTTCAGGCCGGCTTCGTACAAGGCAAAATGCCTTTCTTTGAGTGAACGTTTTTCACCCAGATGAGCAAAGAGAGAAAATGAAGGGATTGTTCACTTTCCTTGCGATTTCAGCTAGGACCTTAGAAAAAGGAATTTTGGTGATGCGATACCCGAGGGGTAAAAAGAAACTCAAATAGGAAGCGCTCTCCTTCGTCGAACGCAACAACGTCTTGTAATTCTATACTTGGTTCGGTTTTCTTTTCAAATTTCTCTGGGTATTACGAGACAATAAAGTCGTGAAACATTTGCAGTTATGTCCCTAAAGCCTCGGAGTCGTCTTTTGTCTTTAGGCTATTGTTACTGCATGAATAATTAATTATATTTAAAAAAGGTACTGTTCTACGTGAGATTCTGTCAGTGTTGTGCACTTTACTTCATCTGATGCTGATGAAAGTAGCCGTTTTCAAAATGAGTGAATGAATAAATGGATGAATAAATAAACGAACGAACGAACGAATAAATGAATAAATGAATGAATGAATGACTGCGCTTTTTAACTTTCCCAGGCTTCGAAACGATTGGCGATTTAAACTAGTGAAAGAAGTTTTAGAAAGCCAAAGTTTGACTCACCTTGATAACAGAAATAAACCGACAAAATAGGCAAATGATGGCAAAGTTCATCATCTTATTCAATTTTCACCTTAAGAAGCATTTAATAGAATTGTTATTTCGAGTTGCCCCAACCCTCTGTTTCAAAGCGAACCTGAGCTTGATTCTAAGCTTATTTTCTGTGGTCGCTTAGGGGAAGTTCGTCTGCATTTCAGATCAATCCGGTGTAAGACGACCTGGGATACCGAGCCATAGTGTGATGTGTGAATTTCTTTTTTTACCCATCTTGAAATACCATGCTATGAAATAAAGTTTTTTGCGTCCTTAATCTTTCAGGCATGTCGTGATGGTTTAACACGTGTGGTGGAACAATTGATCAAACAGAACCCATCAGCTTGTAACGAACAAGACAAAGATGGCCTCACACCGCTTCATCACGCGGCTAGGGGAAACTCTCTTCAAATTATTCAATCACTGTTGGACGCTGGAGCGGGTGAGGAAACCTTTTTGCTCTTTGAAAAGATGATCTTGCAGAAGGTTGGAAATGGGGTTCATTTCTCACTCTGAGAAACAAACCCAGTCAGAGGTCAGAGTGGGATTCTGATGCCGTATTTCTGTATTACTTTTTCTACTTAATTAAAGGAGCTGTGTTATGAAAATTGTCAAACTTCAAACAGTGACAACTGCCACCAATTTGAGTGAAACTAAAAAGTAACTGATCAAAACATGAAAAGAAGGTGTTAAAACCAGTTGTCAGATACATAATACATATATGTACAAAAGGAGACAGGGAAGGACAAACTGGTTCAACAGAAAAAGATGACTGAAACGTATTGCAATTGTGGTTTTTGAAAACTTGTTAGCTTAACAGTTTTTCATTTTTGTTGTTTGCAACGTTTGATATAATGCTTGGGAGTCATATTCGTTTGATACAATGCTGTGATTTTGTCATTCACAAGTAATTTCTTACTTTTAATAACAACATGATCCAAAAAAAAGACAAAGCGGCTTTAAATAAGAGTTTTTCTTCATAGATGTCAATGCCCACGCCTCAAAGGAGAGTGCCTTCGTGACACCGCTGATCTGCGCCAGCAAGTTTGACTCACCAGAAGCATGCCGTTTGCTCATTAAACGAGGTGCACACGTCCAGAAGAAAAATTGCAGTGGTCAGTCACCCCTCCACTATGCTTCTCGGAAAGGCCATGCTCGTGTTTTAGAGGTGAGTCATAAGAGCGAATTATCCTTTTTTGCGGTGAAAGACTTAACTGAAAAACTTACAATACCCTCTCGCTGATACAAATACACTGCTCAGTAAAATTTTTAATTTCCAGAGCGATAACTTAATTAGTATGAACGAAATTCAAAATAACCTCCTTTCAGCGGCCATAACTGATACCCATTTACACCCATCCATCCTACCATCCACACATCCATTTATCCATCCATCTATCCATGCATCCATCCATCCATCCATCCATCCATCCATCCATCCATCCATCCATCCATCCATACATCTATCCATGCATCGATCCATCCATGCATCCATCTATCCATCCATCCACCCATCCACCCATCCATCTATTCACGTAAACAAAAATTGTGCGAACAACTGATAACTTAAAGCATCACATGAATATCGATATTTTAAGCAGTTGATGACGCGAGTAGCTATTAAATAACTATTTGTCGTTAGCACCTATTTGTACTAGTGGCTATTAAAAACACGCTATGTAAAAATATGGTTTCGCAGGCAGGGTTTTGAAGCTAACTCGGATCAGTTCTCTAATATAACTCTTTTACAAACCATTGGCCCACGTACAATTAATACCCAACACTTGCTTATTTGACTTGTTAAGGTTCTTTTGAACGACGGAGGAGCACCGGTTAATCTGGAAGATAACGATAAAGCTACTCCTCTCCATGCTGCAGCACAGGCGGGTCAAACACAAGTCATCCAAAAGCTGGTTAGTCATTCAATATTAATTAATTTTAATTAAAACACTTATTATCATCCCATGCAAATATTCCTTCTTTTCATTGGCCGAGAGCCCACCGCTTGACCTGCAAGTAATTGCCTACAAATAATGGTCTTCTCATGCGCAATGTCGTCTAATTGGGTTTGGCTGCAAATAATATTCTGCTCTAAATGAAACCTCACTTTTCTCCTTTTTGCGATTACTCTTGCGTGAAAATGGCAGATTGCTTCGCCTCTCGAAGATGTTCATTCTCGGTGATCGAATGATAAGACAATTATGAGCAGTCAGGATTATTCATGGAAACAAAATGTTGTGCCTCGTACGGTGGCACCTGGGTGGCACTATGAGTCAAATGATGGAAAAGAGAATTAACCGTAGTAAAAAAAGGAGTGCTACAATAAATCCACTTGGGTTTTCACTCCAAAGTTAATTCTCTGCAGGCCCGTAACCAGGATTTTATGTGGGGGGGTGCTAACGAGGCCAAAGCGGACCCAACTACGGAAATGTATTTTTTATCGTCTGATCCGTTTATTTAGGAAAGTAGTAATACATGAGAAATTGTAACGGCAAAGTACACGGTAGGAACTGAATATTACATTTTTCGAATACAACTGTTTGAATTTAGTTATAAAGGAGTAATTTTACGATGTAAAATGATACATCAAAATACTGCGGAACTAATCCGTCAGAACAGTTCCGAGCTCCAGCCTCCGTGGGTGTAGCGACTAAATCTCAGAGCATAATAATGGGATCAAGACTGGTGGACATTGCGAAAGTGAGTATGATTTACCGTTTATATCTCGCTGTAAAACTGTAGTTAACTGAGATAGATCTGAAGTCGTGGTTTCAGCTGGGCTGTCATCGCAGACTACACTGTCATTGTCAGCGACTGATGGCTCTTAACGGGGTACTTTACTGACCCATTAAATTGTATGGAGGGACTGGCAAGATTTAGCTGCAGCCTTCCTCTTTCTATTTTCCTGTTCTCTCCTACCCATAACGTATTACACAAAAAACTAATTTTGCATCTTCAGGCGTTCATGCGCTCGTAAAAATAGAGAATACTACCCGACGCGTTAGCGGACGTGTCTGACAAAAATCGTGAGATCGCTCCCTTGTCATTGTCTCGCTCGTCGTAAACTCCCGTGCAAAGCCTGCGCCCCGGGGCCTGCGCACGTTCATTTCATTATTCATTTACATAAGCTCCGACATCTGTGCGCTCATTGAAATGTTCTGAATACACCACTGCTTTTTCCATTCTTTGATTTTGTTTAAATATCACTGTTAAGTTTGAAACTTCAGTTTAACCGACTGCGCGCCTTAACTTGGACATTGAGTATCAAAATGCGGACCTTTGGGGCCTGTGAGGGGGTGCAAACGCACCCCGTGCACCCCCCTGGTTACGGGCCTGCTCTGTTCCATTATTTGTGGAAAAAGATTGTGGTTATTCATGAGACTGTCGATAATAATTGTAAAACGTTCTAATTAACTTTAAAAAAATGATAAAAACAAGGATTTATTGTAAGTGGAGCTACACGTTGATTCCTCATCAACCATGTCCCTGATCGAATGCTTCATTTCCGATTTCTAACTTTTCCCCTTTTCATAAATGACTTGAGCAACCCTGAAACGGTCTAATGTTATTCTGAAGTGTTGGTCTAATCCTTATGGACGGAGTAAATACCGGGGAATGAGCCAACTCACCTCAGATCGGAACCAAGAGTCACACCTGTGCCATATTCCCGGAGATAATTTAAAATAGAATGTGGGGCTAGCGCCGGCTTTGATCTAATTATTAATCGACTGAGCTACCTCTGTAGCCCATACGGATCGGCAGGGCTTTTGAAAAAGGAATTGCCAAGGACAGTCGATGTTTAGTTATAAAATTAATGAAAGCTGAACAAATATTCATTATCCATAGTGTGCTATGTTTTTGTAGGTATTGTATGGAGCAGACATGTCTCTTCGAGATAACGATGGCTACACACCCTTTCATCTTGCGGCAAGAGAGGGTCATGTTGAAGCTTTCAAAGAAATGCTTAGAAAAGGTCAGATTATATTCGATCACATTTTGGAATTCTTCACAATCAAAGCTACATAAAGCAAATGTCACTTCATTTGCATAGGCTCGTATACTTTTCTAAAACCTCTTTTTTCAAAGCCCAGAATTAGTTAAATTATAGTGGTTTAACCAGTGAGAACCTAAGAAGTTTCCTTCAAATGTATAAAACCACGGCAAGCCACGAACATTTTATTGTAGTTATGATTAGGAATCTCTCTCATACATAATTGTCAACCATTTATGTCTGTATTAATTAATCAGTCTTCGGCTATTAGATTTGAATTCCACCGACGGTCTCTACTTAGCCTAGCTTAGCCTGCATAACAAGCAGGTTTCCAGTCGAGTTATTTCCCGGAAGTTGGAGCGAGAGTCTCAACTTTCTTGACTAAGTCGAGCGGAAATGCTTGCTACGTAGCCTAGTCTCTACTTGCTCAGTCCCTTAACTGCTGTACAGAGTGGACAGAAGTCTATAAATGAAAAATATTTATCTCCGATATTTCTTTACCTACAGCCAAATATGGTGGATTATCAATCCGCACCTTGTTAAACAGCCCTGATAACTATGGGAACGTATGCCTACATCTGGCCATTAAACATAAAGAGGCAAGTGATAGATAGCGATTGCCATTTACTTTTGGTTTTAGTGTGTTCAGCTATCAATCAATTAATACCTTTATTAAACTGTCAGCTGTGATAGTAGTTCATATCATCTACGTGGAAACACTAAAAAGGATGGGTAAATATATATACAGCATTGAAGTAAGGATCTTGAACCCAGTTTCTGTTTTGTTTGCTGATTTTTTCCTGTTTGAATTTAACGGTGCTACACGAGAGAACCTTTCCTCTTAAGGAAGAATACCGCCACACCACATCAACATCTCTCTTTGTTGTATTTTTTAGATCATGCAACTGTGCCTGGAGGCCGGAGCTGATATAAGTACTGCACAGGTAGGAAAGTCACAAATAAATTATTATTAGTAGTATTATTTGAGATGATCCAGAGACGTGTTTGAATAAATAAATTGGGTGAATGAATGAATGAATGAATGAATGAATGAATGAATGAATGAATGAATGGACGGACGGACGGACGGACGGACGGAAGAATGAATGAGAAGATGGGGCTCTTTGAGGGAGGGTCCAAAATGATCTACCGCAAGCATTTGTATAAAAAGTTCCTACAATCTTTAGAGTGTTCAGATTTTTTCTGACGAATTTCTCAGGAGGACCTTTCGACTCCATTACATCTTGCCTGTAGTCAGGGTAACTTGGAGATAACCAAGCTGTTGGTAAACCACGGAGCAAAGATTGAAAGAGAAGATGGCGATGGATTAACTCCGTTACTCAGGTAACTTTCATTCAAAACCTTTTTAAACGACTTTTAAATGCAGATGACTGACAAATAAAGATCAACAATGGAGGCCAAAGGAACTTGGAACTATGTGCAAAAACTCTTCCAAGTAACTGTTACGGAGGACTCTGCTCCTAATGACAATTCTTGGATCGGCTTTGGTTTCATCTTTTCGTCCCCACTCCCCCTAGCAATGTTGTGACCAAAAAAAGATTCAATTCCACCCTTTTTGCTCAATTCAACTTTGTTTGAGTGTGAGGGGAGGAGTCGCTAGTTTTACTGATATCACTGGAAAGGTTCCAACACTTGTGACCTTCATTGGATCTTTGAATTTTTCAGTGTATAGGCAAATTTTGGCTCTCACGATATAGCTCCACTCCACTGTGTCGATTGGCAAAAACCTGATCAAATGCAGGCTTGAACTTTTTGTCACTACCTTGAAATAAAAGATGATAAGCGGAAACGTTTGACCTGTTTTTATTACCGTTTACGCCACGGAAAATTAAGGGAAGACTCCTTGCTGGAAGAATATTTTAAAAGAGGAAATAAAACTTTTTAAAATGGCAACGGTTTTCTCCAACTGAATTTCTTGGCGTATTCCTCTTTTTTATCTTTTTTGTGTTATAAAGGTATATTCCTAGTGTGTGTGTTGTTGGTCAGTCTCTTAGCATCTCCAAGCAAAAAAAATTGGATGGACAATTTTTTATGTGCTAAATTTTCTCATTTCAGAGCTTCACTTGGAGGACATGTACCAGTCATTAGCTACCTTCTTGACCAGGTAAAAATATCCCGATAAATACTATATCGAAGTCTTTGATTTCTCCATTGATAACAGCCACCAATGATTCTTCTGTTAGGGAGCACAACTGTACCCTACGACAAACACCTGCACCTCATCCCCTCTGATGTGTGCAGTCAAGCGGAGCCAGCATGACGCGGTCAAATTTTTCCTGGCCCGCGGTTTTCCAATGAATCTTACGGATATGAACTGGCGGACAGTTCTTCATGTAGCTGTGGCATGTGCTGATATTGAAACTGTGGACTTGATTCTAGCGGTATGAAAACTATAATGTTTATGGATATATATATTAAAGGGTGCCTAGCATAAAAACATTTTCTATTATTGAGAAAGGTGAGACTGTAAAACATCAAAGTTAAAAGTCATAAACAGGAAAATGGAAAAAGATGGATTTATAGAAGGATTTTTCAATAGCGAGCTTCTAATTAAAGCCTCTCTTTCGGCTTCCACTGAATATAGATCATACAGGCGTCTTTTTTATCCTCGGAGAACTTGGGACAGTCAGTATTGATGGCAAGATTTTCATTATATTTCTTTGACATCCTCTGCATAAAAACGACGGGAAATTTCCTTATGCCTTGTTTTTAGAGAGGATATGAGTACTTAACTAAATTTGACGACAAACATTCACCCTTTAAGATCCCTTCCCTTCGACTGTTCATGGAGCTTGGCGGATAGCCTTTTGTTGAACTGAATTAAATGGCAGCTGTCAACTATCAATGAGGGACAAAAGTGTTGAGACACTTCCATAAAATAGCCCTTTTTTCGCGCATAGTGGATGTATCTATTCCCTCGAGGCTCCCCCTGTGTACTCCTACCCCTTTCTCCCAAAAATCTACGTTGTACTTTAAACCGTTAAGTCTGTCTTCAACTACAAACAACGTTGATTCGTGGGTGGGGGATTTACGGCGTTAAAACAGAATTAATTGACAAATGAATGAAATTGTTGATAAAGCGGGTTTTAGATACGTGTGTCAACTACGTTTGTCCATTGTTCGTTTGGTTTCAGAGCGGAGGAGATAATCTTTTGGAGAACAAAGACCAGTATGGTAAAACAGTGGTACATTACGCTGCCGCCAGATGTAACGTGGATGTACGTATATTAGTGAAATTAGGCAAAGACGTTGTTAATCGACGCACGTCAAATGCTTTCGTCAAATTTTGAGCAAATCGTCTCTATGAGAGTAACGAGATCTAGCAATACAAATCTGGTAGAGTTAAGCGATTTCCAATGACTTAAAACTTAACTGGCACCTAGACAACCAACCAAACTGCTTTGTAATCAGTTATTATTTAGTTACCCAACAAATGCTGCGCCTTGATAAACTTCATTCAGCCATTCAAAACTGCTATGACATAATCCATCCACAAATAATGGGCGCCTGTCAAAACTGACATGCCAACGTTGACTGCCAAAAAATAGAAACAGAAAGGAAAAAATCTGCTAAATTCAGTACCCTGTAATCTTAACATACAACGTAAAACATGCTATCTTAATGAATTTTTCTTGTCCAAATGAGATCTCAAAGGTTTGTTTTCATGACTGTGTCATCTTATTGACTTTGCAAATTAATGAGATTTCTTAATACGCAGAAAAGGTTAAGATGTTTCCCGTATACAGCTATTTCGAGAAAGGTTGTCGGAAAAATGTGCTCGCAACAATCCCGAAAGGTAATATGGGATATGACCAAAACACTGTTCCTAACACTTTAGCTGTCGAACTTACTTTTGTTGATTTCCTTTAGCGCTCACAAACATACGTCCATGGCCTCTCGTGCCATTTTTTCAAATTTCTTGGAAGAACAGTGAACTTCAAAACCACCCACAATACCTTTCAGGATTGTCACGACGGCGTGCACTTTTTCTGACAACCTTTTTCGAAATAGCTGTATACTACTAATATTAACACAGTGGGAAGAGCGGACTGCATCCTACAAGAGTCTTGTTTCCCCTTTATGTACTGAGATCTAAAACGAGTTCTTACGTAGATCAAGTTGGTTTCTTACTGCTTCAATCAATTCCTCTCGAAATACCACACAGGGAAAATGAATCATAATAAGATGAAAAAATCGTAGATCTGCTTAATATCATGTCGTTTTACTAATTTTACAGATCATAAACCGTCTCATAGTCGTTGGAGCAGATGTCAGGGCAAAGGACAACGATGAAAGAATTCCACTTCATTTGGCTGCAGAGTTTGTAACAATTCACTTTTTTTAATAAACTATTGTTATTAAAAAATGAGGTAACTCTTTACTCATGTAACTTTTATTTTATCAGGAGCGGAGTCGTTTGTGTGGTGAGAGCTCTCGTCAGCGTATGCCCAGAATCTGTTAATGACATCGACTATGGTTCCCGTACGCCGTTACATTATGCCGCTAGAAAGGGTCGTGTAGCGGTGGCCACACACTTACTAGAGAGTGGTGCAGCAGCCGATTACAGGTATAAATTTACAACGGAAACTTGTGGGTACTTATTATTTAAACAAGGAAGCCGGGAAGATCTATTGCAAATAGGAATGGTTGTCCCCATTCTGCAGGAAAAACTTCAAAAAGGATGGGCTGTCGGGTAGCAATTTTGATTTTTACCTTCAGTTGTCAAACAAGATTTTATGTCTCGGAACCACTTCCGTTAAAGTAACTAAAGTGCTTGGTTACCAATGCAAACTTTCCATGTTGCATCTTTGCAAGTACAATGGAACTTCGCATGTTATCTAGAACAACTCCAGTTACCTTAGGTGTCCCGCTATAGGTCATTTTGAGTTTAAGACTGGGCCCAACTGCACCATGGGATTATCTTAGGGGTCGGACTTTCCCCCAGTTTCCTGCGCAACTTAGTAATAACCAATTAAAAAAACGAAATAGCGCTACCAAAACATTCCCATAGCACAGTCAGTCATTGAGCCAGTCTCGTGCTCAGCTTTAAAATGGCCATAATTTATCCCATTTCCCTTGGTTTCCTTTTCTTTTAGTCGCCTGACTAATTTGCACCCGTTTATCCCGAATGTTTGTTTCGGTTGTTGAAAACAAGAGGCGGAGACCGGGATAAATATAGGAGTTTGTTAAAGTAGAGGGCGTGAGAGAAGGTGCAATGTATCATCTATTTTTATGATAGCTACTGGAGGTATCCTGTTATGGATGACCGACATTTGTTTTCTTTTGTAGAGATGACGATCGTTATACACCGCTTTTTCATGCCGCGTTGGTTGGGTGCCCTGCTACAATTGAAACCCTTCTTCACTATGGAGCGGATATCAACTGCCTGGAAAAAAATCGAGTGCGTAGGAACCTGTGTACTTAATATGCGCATAGAATATGCCGGATATGCTTGATATCAAACATTTTGCCATTCACGGTCTTTCTACAAAAACTTTCACGATACCTAATTAAATCCAGCTGCTATTATATAGGGCCATAATTTCAGGTCGATTGAGAGGCAGCAAAAAATAAAGAGATCCCACAAAAGGGAATGTAATTTGGACGGAAAGATGGCCATGCCCGTGTTGATGAGTCCAAATTAGGGAGATGGCCTCCCGGCCTGCTTTAACTAACCATCGACCGGTTAGCTCAGATGGTCGGGTACCTTATCAGAGCGGAAGGTCACGCCTCGACTAGCGACGGAACCGAATTTCGAATGAATCATTGTGTCATATGCGTCTACTGCTATAGGGCAGATCTGTGCCCTGTAAGACTGGGTATATAGAAAAATGTTTGCCCGTCTCAGGTACAGTATTCACAAAGCTCTCAAATACTTCTATGGTGATTGGCCTTCCAAAACAAACCTCAACTATTGTTTTCAGGGATAGGGACATTGTCTTGCTCATTTGTCCATTGTTTCGTCACGGAGCCCTCTCAGGTACTGGCCTTATTGCGGTGCTGGGGAGCAGCTTCTCGCAGCTCACAGACTGATCCTTGGAGCGACAAAGACAGAACTGCCAATGCAAGCTAGCATTATACCTTAAATTGTTTGTTTTTGTCTTATCTCTTTTATTAACGTGATCATTGCAGAAGCCTCCAGCAATATTGGCGTCCTATTTTGGAAATTTGAGCGCTCTCAGAAAGCTTATTCAGTGCGGAGCAGATGTAGCACTCGTATCATCAACTGGGTTCAATTGTTTGGATGTAGCAATCAAATCTGGAAATACAGACGTATGCATGGAATTAGTGAAAAACAAAAAGTATGAATCTTAAACATGTGTCTATAGTCCCGTAAAACGGAACCATAAGTACAAAATTTTCGTCTTTAAAGATCACAAACAACATGAAATTTAGTTTTGTTGATGAATGATCTGCTCTTTTTAGTTTCACCAACCGGATCAAAAGATAGGGAACTATTTTATACAGGCATAGGAAGTAGCTCCACAAAAAATATTGTTCAAAACTGACATTTTTCCAAGAACTCTAAAACAAAAGGTTTCAGGAAAGTTAATGAAACTGTAAAAGGCAGGTCTTTAGTACTGATCAATGAACTGAGGGGGTAAAATCTTACTTGAAGGAATAATCATGACTCTACTCAAAAAAATTATGTCAAAAAGCAAAACGTTCAGCCTGTTGTTTACTTCCTTAAATTGATCTCAGACAGTATCTTTGATGATTTTAAAGAGTCTTTTTGATTGTTCCTAGATGGCGGGAAATGCTAAGCAACATAAAGTTCGAGGGAGTGACTCCTATGCGAAGACTCATTGAAAAATTCCCAGAAGTGGCTAAGGTAAAAAAAAGAGACAGATTTATTCTTCTGAAGTTTTTCTTTCTCAGGGGCTTATCTCGTTCATTGTGTTTGTGAAAAAGAGAAAATCCAAGAAATAGTATAAGAAGAACTTACCTGTAGCGGGGCGGAAGGCATGAGTGGAATTATAATTATTTCTCAAATCATTTGCTATTTGGCCTAAATTTAACGATGGATGATCTTAGTACAGAAAGAGAATTGAAACGCATTCGATATTACGCATGCTATGACTCTAAAGAAATCGTTCTCAAAACATCTGTGATGAAATGAAAGTCGCCCTCGGCTTGATCAAATGAAAGCAAAATTACCAATAATTAACGCCCCCTCGAATAAATGCGGCATTCAATCAAAAAAATGATCAGAATAATTCGGCACTACTTGGGAATCTACACCATTCAGAGATTTACGATTCTATCCAACCAAAATAAGGGAGACATTTGAAATTTTTGTTTTTACAAATGATTCACTGTAACTTATGTCAGTGATTTAAGAAATATGATTTAAAAATAAACGCCGCATCAGAAACTCTTAACAATTTCAGTGATAAACGCCGCGGCGTTTAATCGAGTAAACACATTAATCGATTTAGAAAAAAAACAGGGCCTGTTTTTACGCAACTTAGTAAAGTTTTCTTTTTCTCGGTAATAATTATCGTATTTATGAACACCTGGTATTGTTTTTAACTGAGATGAAACCTTTGTATATTTGAAGTAAATGGTCGGGATTTCATTTTCTTTTCAGGTTGTCCTGGACAAATGCATTGAACGCTCACCACATCTGGACACTGATCCAAATTACACGGTACGCTTTTACACTTAACAAGAAAGCTTACATAAATGTTCCAGCCACTGTACAGGGCAATAAAAACAGTAACCTTTCGCTTTTAACGCTACATTTTACATTTTTTTTTGGGCTTCAGATCACCTACGATTTCTCTTTAATTTTTCCTAAAGAAGGAGAGAATATCGATATAAACCAAGAAAGATACTGTGGCGCAAAGGTAGGGGGTTGATTAAGGTTGGTTTTCACTTATGACGGCGTCGGAGTCGTGCGGCTGGGTCGTAAAGAGCGCTTATGACTCAGTGAAAATAAAAAACCGGACTAGCAAGTGGGGTAATAAGAGCAACAGAATCAGAATCGGAAGAACCGGAACGTTTCCATTTTCTTCAATTTGGACTCCGCTTATGACACCGTCGTGTACGATCTAGTGAAAACCACATTGCCGGAGTCGGAAGCAGAAGTGGAAGAATAAACCATTCACAATGCTCATTCCCAAGCTTTGCGATTGGTTTACGGTTCTTCCGCTTTTGCTTGCGACTTCGAGAACTCAGTTTTCACTTGATTGAAAGCGACGGAGTTGTTGTTTTCAATGATCGTAAAGTTCTACGCTTCTGATTACGACTTCGACTCCGACTGACAATCTGCCTTATCTCAATAATTTGAGGTTTATGTAATGACTCACCTACACTATGGAAAACGAATATTTTTTCTATTGTTTGTAAAGTGTTCCTATCCAGTGCGAGATCACCTTTCGTCCTTTCACAAGATAACAAATCCAGAGATTTAAAAAAGCAATTCCACTTTTGCGATATATTTGCAAAATTGCTTTTTTCGAGGCCTATTTCATCAGATTTGTGTGGGGTAACCTTTTTTTCTAGCGAGACGAAAAGAGTACCTCATCTAAGGTTACGTGTACACGGAAGGCGAATCCGGATCGGAGAAAAAACAATATCCCCTTTCAATAAAAAATGGACTCAAAGGAGCCTCAGTCGCCCATACACATCACAGGGGAGACTGAAGCATGGCGTGTCGTCACGCAATTCCAAGCGTTCTACGGCAAAATGAGAATCATACTAAGGAGACTTGATTAAAAAATCCTTGCCAGGGATTTTAGTGGCTTCACAGCTTATGACAAATTAATGTGTGAAACCAATACAAAGACCGTATACATTAAATCTGCTCAAATTGTGATTAAAAAAAGACCTTAAAGTGTCAAAACTGATTTAACAAAAATGAAATGACTCATTGATGAGGATTGCTATTAGCCAGTCGAAATATACATTGCGGCTCAATGCAGTCGTTTTTGTTGTTTGATCGGCTCGTGCAGTTGTCTATTTGACATTTATATTTTTAGCTTTTTAGCTACATGCTACCAAATTGTCGGTGAAGAGTATTTTATTTATCCATTCGTTCATGTTTGTAGACCATGTTAGACTGGTGCCGTGAGGATCTGCTTTTTCATCCGCTGACCAGAGAGATGGTTCGAATGAAGTGGTATGTACAAGTATGTAGGAATCCCACTTTAAAAAGACTTTCCCTCAGTGTGGCTCAATTTTTACTTTGCCTTTGAGAGGAATAAAATTACTGGTCGAAAAAAGACTGTGTTCATAAATGTGAAAATCTCTCTTGCCACCGAGAACATAATGTACCTTTTTCCGCCCTCCCTCCCCACCCCCCCCCAAAAAAACATTGTACATAACCATTATTTCCAATTTCTACTGGGTATTACAGTCGTCGCAAGAGAAATCGAAGACAATAGTCATGCAAAATCTTTAGGGGTAAACAAGGTGCATTATGGTGTCGGTGAGAAGAGTGAAGTATGAATTTTGCGCAATTGTTGAAATGAAGTAACAGTATCAACAATAACCATTATGTACCTCGAGTCTTTCTCAAGAATTGCACCTTCGACGTTTTTAAATCTGAAAAACCCAGTTCGGGGAGATTAGACAAATAAGGCTATATCCACTCTATACCAGGATGGCTTTTCGTACCGACATCAAAAGCTTTTAAAGTAACTTATTGCGCTTGGATAATGTCATAAATAAAAAATATATAAATAAAATAATACTAATAAATAATATCTAAATATTTCATACAGTTTAAATTATTAGGAAGTAATAAAATGGTACATTTTTCTTAGGCGTCATATTGGTCTGACAGTGTTTTTCTTTGGTGCTCTGTTGTATGGAGTTTTCTTGGGATTGTTTTCCCACTATCTATACTGCGTTCACAGTAAAACAAACAGCTCCTTTGCTAACCAGCACACACAGAGCTATGATC